TATTATTATTATTATTATTATTATTATTATTATTATTATTATTATTATTATTCACCTAAAATTTTGTCAATGTTGATTTTCAGTATATTACAAATGACGGGAGTAGAGCGATCTTCAGGACCAACAAAAACGCACCTAATTATCGTCTCATCTCCATCGATTTAGAGGATTATGCTGAATCTAAATGGACTGTATTATTACCAGAGCATCCAGAGAGAGTTCTGGACTGGGCTGATGCAGTTAATGGAGACAAGTTGATGGCATGCTTTATTGAGGACGTGAAGGTACCCCGACAATTATTACTGTTCGTTTATTTTTTATGAATTTGTTTTTAAACTCTTTTATGATCAATTAAATTATTGAACTATTTATATTGACTCTTAATAAACCGTTAGATGATTGTTCAATATCTTCTTTCCTACAGAAAAAACTTGAAAAGTCAATCGAAAAAATTAATCTTCGAGACAATGTTACCACATAAATTATGGCCTAATTAATAATAAAGCATGTGCATTGATGATGAATAAAGATTAAAATCAGAGAATTCTTTACAAAGAAAAAGATTATTTATATTATTTATGATTTATAAGCAATTAGTCTAAAGATTTACGCAATTTCTAATTGATTATAATGTGACAAGTAATGTAATTACTGAATAATTCGATTTTTCCAGCACGTGTTACAACTTCACAGTCTGAAAACTGGTGAAGTGCTGCGAAAGTTTCCACTAGATCTCGGCACCATTGTGGGTTATAGCGGTGATAAAAAGTACTCGGAAATTTTCTATCAATTCACTTCATTTTTAACCCCAGGGATTATCTACAGGGTTGATCTTACGAGCAATGAAGATCCAAAAGTGATTATTGATTACTGTATTTGTTTAATAATAATTGATAACATGGTCACATGTGTTACACAATTTTTTGTTAACAGATATTTCGCGAAATCAAAGTCAACAATTTTGATCCGAAGGATTATCAAACATCACAGGTGTTCTATACAAGCAAAGATGGAACCCGAATTCCTATGTTCATCGTCATGAAGGCGGTAAATATAATTTATTACATATACATTTGATGGCAAAGTGCTAGAAAAACTCTAGTGGAAACGATTCATCTTCGTTATCGGTTATTAAATTAAATAAAAAAATATTTAGTCGCTCGCTAAATTGTGTATTGAAAAAATCGACTGGCATTTCCTTCGAAAACCAATAGATTTTTAAATTAAAAGAACAAATAAGTGTTCATTTTTTTTCATCAATATCTTTTCAATATCTTCAATATCAATATCTTTTCATCAATTCGTTTTTTCATCAATATCTTTATTTTCTGATTAACAAAAACATTGGGATAAAATAGAATAGCTGTTCAAACATTTTTTCGAGTTCTAAAAATCCAAATGCACATTTCGCACGCGCTACCCAGGTTACGTGAAATTCATACTTGAATAATTTTTAAAAAATTCTCTCATTCTTCATTTTACCGATTTCATTGAATATTTTTCCGTAGCGATTTCCATTTTTCATTCGTCCTGAAATATACTATTTCTCCTTGATTGCTTTTCCAAGGCACCAACTTCAGTTTAATTTCACAAAAACCACTTCACTCTGTTGATAACTTCGATCTAATAATGAAATCGAAATTCTGATAATCGAGATACGTGGACCAGATCAAATGTCAGTAATTTAAATATTTAAATTCATTTTTATTGAAACTATAACTATCTAACAGAAATTCAAGTTAAACACGAAAATATCTGCGCGAAAGTGTCATAACTTAATTGAAAATGGAATCATATCGGAATTTATTGGTTCAGGTGTCAATTTGAAGCTTATTTAAAAGGCTTTCGAAAGAGTACTAAATAAATAGCTTTATGTATATATAAAGAGCAAGAACGACAATAGTATCAAAACCAGAAAAAAAAAACAAGAGATCATGTTTATTCAATTTTTTTGGGGTGTAATAATCGCTTCGTGATATTTCTCCCCTGTTCTCATGGGTTTCTGAATAGCAATCTTTTGTAAAAAATTTATTGCTATATTCTGTTAAATCTAGAATGCTGTCCTGGATGGATCTATGCCTGCACTCCTCTATGGCTATGGGGGCTTTAATATTAGCATACAACCAACGTTTAGTGTCACTCGACTTGTATTTATTCAACATTTCAATGGAGTCCTAGCTGTGGCGAATATTCGTGGTGGAGGGTACAAATCAGTCTTCAATAAAATAAATTTAATATTTAATAAATGAATTTTTGGATGAATTTGATTATTTTTCTGTAGGGAATACGGTGAGAAGTGGCACAACGGTGGACGTTTCTTAAATAAGCAGAATACTTTTGATGATTTTCAACGTGCTGCTGAGTACTTAATAGAGAATCAATACACAACGTCTAAAAAATTGACGATTCAAGGAGGAAGCAATGGAGGTTTGCTCGTTGCTGCTTGTGTCAATCAGAGACCTGATTTATTTGGTGCAGCTATTGCAGAAGTTGGGTAAATATATCCACATATATAAATTGCGGCATTAAAAATTTAAATTTCGAGTCTGAAAATCGAAATTCAGAATTTTGTAAATTAAGGCTTGGGTGGATTATCTAGAAAAGATAATTTACTCCGAAATTCGGATTCCTAATTACTTTGGCAATTAATCGTTTTTTTTTCAATAATTGTTAGCTAGCGTTCTAGCGGTTGTCAACAACTAGGCCGCTAGCTAACAATTATCGGAAAAAACGATTAATTGACGGAGTAATTAGAAGTCCCAATTTTGGAGTAAATTATCTTTTCCAGACAGTCCATCCGGGCCTTAAGGACCGGTTGGATTATCTGGAAAAGATCATTTACTCCAAAATTGGGATTCCTAATTACTCTGGCGATTAATCGTTTTTTTTTCAATAATTGTTAGCTATCGTTCTAGCGGTTGTCAACGACTAGAACTCTAGCTAACAATTATCGGAAAAAACAATTAATTGGCGGAGTAATTAGGAATCCCAATTTTGGAGTAAATTATCTTTCCGAAATACTCCATCCGGCCCTTAAGAAGTTTAAACTTCTAAATTACAAGACTCTAATCGATAAATTTCGGAATTGAAACCCTATATTGCGAGGAGAAAAATGACAATGAGGATATTCAAATGATAAATTACCATTTCTACCCGAAATTTATGTTTTAATCTCGAAATGTACTCGATTGATTTATAGTAAATGACCGTGTGTGATTTTACCTAGAGCTTACGTCAATATATTTTCCAGAGTTATGGATATGCTTCGTTTCCATAAATTCACGGTAGGCTATGCGTGGGTGTCAGATTACGGTAGTTCAGATGAAAAACAACATTTTGATAATCTGATTAAATTCTCACCCCTCCACAACGTTCGAGCTCCAGAGAGCGGTGGTCAGTACCCTGCGACACTACTGTTGACAGCAGATCATGATGATCGAGTTGTGCCCTTACATAGTTTAAAATTGATAGCGACAATGCAGCATAAACTTGGAAAGTTGGCTCAACAGACTAATCCAATTTTGGGGAGAATCGAGACAAAAGCTGGACACGGTCATGGCAAACCGACAACTAAAATCGTAAGTAGAAACTGAAGAAAACACAAAGCTAAAACTACAAAAAACACGAATGCCAATGGTTTTATCTGAATTCTTTAAGGCCCGGATGGACTGTCCGGAAAAGATAATTTACTCCAAAATTGGGACTTCTAATTACTCCGTCAATTAATCGTTTTTTCCGATAATTGTTAGCTAGCGGCCTAGTGGTTGACAACCGTTGGAACGCTAGCTAACAGTTATTGAAAAAAAACTATTAATTGCCAAAATAATTAGGAATCCGAATTTCGGAGTAAATGATCTTTTCTAGATAATCCACCCGAGCCTTAATTTTAAATTGAATGTTTCTTGATATTTTCTCAGGAAACCGCGCATTATACTATAATTCCTGAGATGTTGACTAATTACACGTGATGAATCATTTTATAAAAAATGTTTCGCATTTCCTTTTCCTCCGAAAATTCTAGTCTTCTAGTCTATTCTAGAAGTTTCATCGTTTATCAAAATTTCGCAATGCGTCAGCGTTTTTCGAATACAAATTATTAATAATAAAACATCTTGGGCACAAAAATCGATAAATCCTAAATTCACAGCTTGAATATTTGAGTCTTCCAATTTAGACTTGTGGAAAAGAAAAAAAAAAAATGGAATGTAAAAAAAATTCATGCCCTCAATTTTCTGCAGGGAAATATTTTAACAGTATAAAATAAATAAAAAAAACCACATCTTTAGATTCGTCGTCAGTTAATTAGAAGAAAGTGCGGGCAGGGAATTAATTAATAAATATATTTAATTAATATAATAAATGTTTCTATACAATTTTTTGTTTGTCAATGCAAAAATTAGTTAAGAGACTAGCTATTAACAGAATAATTGTTGTAATATTTTTTTTCTCTTTCTAGATCGAAGAACGTACTGATATACTGTCATTCATGACTCAAACGTTGGGTCTGGAATTCTACAAATAAATTAATCAAGCCATCGTCAACTGCCAGTTGATCGACATGCGAGATACATTTTTGTATATTTCCTCGATTACATTCTTTCCAATTAAATCTTATTACTCGTTTTGTTACTCAATAAACAATGCCACTGGTTAATTAGATTCTCCCTAGATCACTAAGCACTGCCACTTAACATTAATCTTTCCGACGAAATGCTCGTATTATTTATTTATTCAACTTTTCTCGGAGAGCGTAATTATCTCGAGAATGAATCATTCTATGACAAAATGTTATAAAACCATTTTTGAAAGGAATCTTCTCAGCTACAAAAAAGGTTCAATAGTATTTAATTGTATAATGACTCATTAAGGAGATAAATGCATAGTTAATACATTTGACTTTATTATTTGCAGAATTGAATGGAGAAACGATTAAATGATTTTGCAATGCAGTTTTAGAACCATAAAAAATAGACGGAGGATCTACATAATTTTTCCTGTGTTGAATTTCTTAGTTTCAACATTCCATAGTCCGAAATTCTACAATTTTTTGGGGTGTTCATGTTTCTCTGCCGCTCACCTACAGGAAAGATCCTTTTTTAATTTTTAAACGGAGATTTTTTGACATATTCTCTCAATTTATATTGCTTTAATTGCCATCTAGTAATTCTAAGCTGATCCAATCATAAAAAATCTGTGATAAGACATTTACTCGAACGATATTGATTAACAAAGTGGAGTTAAATGGTCAGACATAGGATCTTGACATCAGTTTGCGAAATGTATCTGATAAAATCCGTAGAACATCGCAAAAAAAAAACAAGAGATTCTTGAAAGAAGTGGCGAGAGTGCTGTAGAGTGTGGACGCAACAAAGTTATAATCCAATCTTCATTAATCCCAAACAAAGAAGCAAGAAAACTTTTGAGACGCTCTTATCATTGACCTCAATCACCCCCTCGTAGTTTCTGCAAAGAGAAAATTAAATCGTGTGGGATGGAATCACTGGAGAGTCACCGCAAATTAAATTATCCCGAATTTTCGATTTTCAATTTCTCAATCATCAATTACATGTACAAAAATGAAGTGGAAGTTGAAGCTCTGACCGTTAAAAATACAAAGTCTCCTTATTTATCGTACTATCGCCACTCGACAAGATAATTCCGCAACTGATAAGATGAGCTCAGTAATGCGCGAAGAAATTCTTATGTGCGAAAAACTCATGAAAATGTGGGGGAAATGAGAACACTTTGAAGCTGAGAACATGTTTGATGGACAACATCAGTCATTGTTCAAATTTAATATTATTACAGTAATAATTAAAAAATCTGATGATTCTCTAAATCGCTAAAAAAATTTGTGATTAAAAAAATATCTGAGATTTTATGCAGTCAAGGGATCATTGACCATTTTAACAGTCCATTCAGTAAATTGCAGATGATTTAATAAATTGAGTCCTATAACAAATTAAAAAAATACTTTTAGTCTGATGATGTCCATTTCCCTAGCAATGAATCTCTTTTTCCACAATTTTCGGAAGGAAAATCTTTCTTTTCAGAGTTTACTATTTTATTTTTTTTTAGTTATATATTATTTCCAAAAACTGAGTTTTGGTTTTCCGTTTCGTTTTTCTTCTGTAGTAAACAGTTGAACGTATTAATTAATTCGCGTGTAATTGAATCTGATGAATTTAGGGTTCATAAAAAAATTCGGTATTAGATATTTTTTTTATAATTATATCCTCTTTGCTATTTTGGAAAATATGTTCAATGAGCTTGCACGTGAATATAAAATAATATATAAGTATTTGCGCGGATAATAAAGTCGATTATGAATTTTATTGAAACGGAATTATTATTTTTAAAAATGTGACACGTGAAATTCGACACGTGCCACATAAAAAAAATATATATTCAAGAATATATGGTAATTATATCTCGAGATATATTTTCGATATATCTCTGCCGATATATCTCGATGCTTATACTTAAGATATATTCACAATATAAAATATAATATGGATATATTTGAGACATAATTTTGGAAAAAAAAATTATATCTCAGTTGTAATTTTTGGATTATACTTTTCCATGCGGGATTATCATCGATCACTATTAATTCTTGATCGGAGACTTTCCCCGAGTAATTTCAAATTTTCTTTATCTTAAAAAAAACATTCCACTTCTTTCTACAATAATTAATAATTATTTATTGATATCAAGAGGTACTTATCGATTCCAACAATCACAACGTGAAATTAAAGAATAAAAAAGAACAACAAAAATCGATGACTTAAAACAGAAATAATTCCCTAAGAAAATATAATATAGTTTTTGATTTTTGAGATAAAAATAGATTTTCAACTATATTTTGTCATTTCTACAAAAAATCGTAATAAATTACCAAAAGGAGAATTTAACATCCGAAAAAATAAAATCTAGTAAATGGAAACTTTCAAAGGTGTTCGTAAAAGTCCAATCAAGCAATTTCAATATTTTTTATAAAAAAAAAGAACATTCCACTTCTCTCTACTCACAATTCTATTGAGAAATGGCAAACTAGGATAAGTGCACTTTTTCGAGGCAGCCTTTCAGCCACTATATCTCAGAACAGAAGACAGATAGCGATATTTCTGGTTGAACATTTTTTGTAGAGTAAAAAGTGTGCTAAAGGAAAGATAATCATGAGAATATCAATATTTTCCTTCAATCCCGAGATATCCGGGAAAAACTGATCCCGCAAAAATGTGCACTTATCCTAATTTATCAATTTTATTACTGAATAGCAATTCCCCAGGGATTTGATTAATAATTATTCATTGATATTGAAGTACTCATGCATCCTGACAACCACAACATGCAATGGATAAAAAAAATTTACATATTGGCGCCCGGATTGCGCGAGCACGCGCACATCAGCTGTACTTTGCGCTGCAAATGGTGATAACCTCATGGCTCGAATCCCCCGGACAATCGCCCCCCACGAACCGTATATAAACGAAATAATTCCTCAGAATAAATCATTCATAACGACGAGAGTAACGGCATTACAACTTCCCAGTGTTTTAAATAATAAAAAGCCAACATCGAGGGTAAATTACCACCTAGACCGTAATCAACCACGGATAAACCCTCTGAAACAATAAAAATAACCGAGTGAAATTATCAATCAATAAATCTGTCAGCACACGGAGGAATGCAAAAGGACTGTCGAGACTGTTTGGGTATCCGATACCGCATCAACACCCTGGATCAAACCTGGAAGTGGTTGCACCAAACGATTGCCCTTCACGATTACCTCATCTCCATAACCTCAAGCCAGTGCGACGTATCTCCCAAGCAGATGTGTTGAAAGGTTCCCAAACTCAAAGACCTTTCCAAAATTTTCATCTCCGATAAATCCCCAGTGCCCTCTTTTCCATCAACGACTTCAACAAAACGAGAAGTGGCTCAACCTGAACCTGGCCTTATGAAAGTTAATCAACTGAAAAGAGGGAATACTAAATACGAAAAAGACTGATTTAGTTTAATTGGCTGATAACTTGTGAATAAAAATGTCTCTAATCAGCAGATACATTGTGTCTAATAAGGGGAGAGTGTTATCAATTGTTCAGACACATGGTGGAATTAAAATTGCTAGATCAATGTCCAGTGATCGTGTTAATGAGGATGGGATAACCAAGTCTGTGTTCATATCACAATCCAAAGATATATTTACCAATCTGGCATTGGAGGACTGGCTCTATCGTAATTATGACTTCAACAATCATCACGTCCTGTTGCTGTGGAGGAATGATCCTTGTGTGGTTATTGGACGACATCAGAACCCCTGGATTGAGGCTAACATTCAGGGTCTTGAGGAGCAAGGAATTGCCATGGCTAGACGAAATAGTGGTGGTGGTACAGTTTATCATGACTCTGGAAATCTTAATTTGTCATTTTTTACACCGAAGGAGAGGTACAACAGGAGGTACAACCTGGAGATTATAACGAGGTCGTTGTATAGGGAATGGGGTGTCAAATGTGATATCAATAAGAGGGAAGATATCGTTGTCAATGGAAATTCAAAAGTGTCGGGGACCGCTGCAAAACTGGGACGACCTAATGCTTATCATCATTGCACTCTATTGGTCAATGTTAATAAACGAAATCTCAGTATGGCGCTTGAAAAAAAAGAGGTAATTCACCAACAATTGGCATATTGTCGCTCAGCTTCGCGAATTCATTTTGTAAAACGATGCAATAATTTTATGGGATAAGATTATGAAGAAATTAGGTGTCAGCAATGCGGGACAATCTGAGAGAGTTTTGTGGTACGAATTGAGGACATTATCGAACGGATTAAGATAAAAGTAGACACTGGATTCGCCAGTACCAGTATTTTAACCATCGAGGAATATTACTGATTATTCAGATTATTATCGTTTTTTTATTTACAGTCTTTGGGTGCTAATGTTTTTAGAGAATTATTATTAATTGAAATTTTTAATTTAATCTTATCGTTTTCTTCTGTTTTGTGTCGATAACAAAAGAGGAGATTCACCAAAAAGTTCATAAAAAAAGTAGAAAAATTATTGCATAACAGCAAGCGTCATTAAATGACAATAATATTTTTTTTGCGTCAATTGTCTTAATAGTTAACTGAAAATGATTTTTGCAGTAATTCCTTGCTCTGAAAAACGATCAGTTGTTAATTATTCGAGTTAATATTGATGAGGTCAAGGTCGTGGAAATGACTGATCAAAATTCAATGTTTTTTTTTCATTTTTTTAAAGGCCGGGATCACGACGAATGCGACGGAATCTACGAGATCTCCAGTGAAGAATTTGAATGAAATCAATGGTAGAGTTAATACTGATGCATTAATTTCGGCTGTTGGGTGGGAATATCTTCGCACAAAGGCAATGAGTCTCGAGGATGGAGGAGATTCACTTGTACAGAGGCAGAAAGGATTTCAAATGATAAATCCCACTGAACAGTGGTTTCCAGGTAAATTAGATAATTTAATCAATGATCAATTAAGGGCCGGATGGAGTATCTCTGAAAGATAATTTACTTCAAAATTGGGATTCCTAATTACTCTGGCAATTAATCGTTTTTTTTCAATAATTGTTAGATAGCGTTCTAGCGGTTGTCAACGACTAGAACGCTAGCTAATAATTATCGGAAAAAACAATTAATTGGCGGAGTAATTAGGAATCCCAATTTTGGAGTAAATTATCTTTTCCAGATAATCCAACCAGTCCTTAAGGCACGGATGGACTGTCTGGAAAAGATAATTTACTCCAAAATTGGGACTTCTAATTACTCCGTCAATTAATCGTTTTTTCCGATAATTGTTAGCTAGAGACCTAGTTGTTGACAACCGCTAGAACGCTAGCTAACAATTATTGAAAAAAACTATTAATTGCCAAAGTAATTAGAAATTCCAATTTTGGAGTAAATGATCTTTTCCAGATAATCCAACCGGTCCTTAAATACCTTCCAACTCGTAGAATATTCACGATTAATTATTCACTTATACTCATATTAATTATAATTTGTTAGGCTAGTCTGGTATATTAGTTGCTTTAGATATCATTAAAAAATCCAGTATTAGACATTTTTCTAAAATTCTTATTTCCTCTCAACCCTTTTTTGCTATTGTGGACAGCATACTCGATGAGGTTGTACATGAAAATTAAATACATGAGTATTTGCGAGAATAATTAAGGGGATTATGGATTTTATTTAAAGAGAATCATTATTTATCGAAATGTGGCACGTGGAATTTGGTACATTATCATTGATAACTCTGGATTGAATCGATGGAATTTGGAAATTCAAGTAGCTTTAGGGAGACCTTGTGGAGACCTTTATAATGGTGTTCAGTGTATCCTCCTTAATTGCCTCAAATGCTGCGATAATTAACAATAACCGTAATTTTTAGAACGTGACAGAATATTCAAAAATGGAAAAAGCTTGAATAACTTTGCAAAAACGCCACTGAATCAGATACAAAAGACGCCATTTGGAAGAGCCAAACATTTTCTTTAAAACGGTATATAAATATTCAAAATGTAAAAGAAATGTAAACAAATTGGAATTTATCAAAAAAGTCGAAATTTAGTCATAACTTGAAAATCACATTTTCGCGTTCAATGTGTCATAAATCCATAAAAAATGGCGGAAATCACATAAGTCACATATTTTTCAGAAGCTTATTAAATAGTCTTTCAGATGAGCACATCCTATACTACTTCAATCCGAACGGAAGAGCGGAATTATCTCAAAGAGTCAAGAAAACGCGTTACGAACACGCACCATTTTCCGTATCTACGCATTTTCAATTTATTTACAATTATTCATGTCCTTCATTTGGTTTCAGGTTTGGATAAACTCAAAGAAGAATTTCAATCCTGGCAATGGAACTATGGCAGATCCCCAAAATTCACTGTAACGAGATATCTGAAGATCCCAGCGGATTCGACAGATTCAACGAGAACCGGACAATTTCACCAGCTGAAATTAACTATGGAAGTAAAAAATGGAATAGTTGAGGACATAAAACTGAGTTTACCTCCGAATGTTGTTTCCAATGCTGCTAATCAGGATGCCAGTGTGATAACTCATCTTCGAGGGGCAAAATACGACCACGAGATCACCGAGAAAATCATCTCCGCTCTCGGTTGTACCAGTGTTTCCCTCGATGGCACTCAGTGTAATATCAATAACATGGCAGCCACTCAATGACAAAATCACCCAGAAAATTCCCACTAAGATTAATAACAGTTGTTTGCACTTCACAATACGCTTGTGTTATTTTTATGTATATATCTCTATCCTGTCTTCTAACTGTTGCTGTAAAATACATGAAAGTATTTTTTAAATCGCGTGACGATTGACTTTTCATTTTCATTCGATTGCCGTCAGTGACTCAGCTATTTCAACCTCACATAAACGGGGAATTGCTCTGTCATTATAAATAATATTAATAATATTTTTGCTAATAATTTAACGATACGTCAAATTATGAGAAAGTCTTGTCGAAATATTTTTATTACGCATGATGGAGTGGACTTGGAAGATAATCAATTAAGAAAATCAAAATAGATGAAAAATCAGGAAGAATTTTTTAATGAATCAATGAAAAATTGTCAAAATATTCTGATGGATTATATCAACATATAATTCATAAAAATCCATATTCATGTCCATATCCAGAGATTCATCGATAAAAATTTAAACAAAAACTGTCGAGTACATATTTTACACGACAGACTTAAGCCATCATTAAAGTATTTCATAACATTTTTTCTTCAGTTATCGTGAAAAACCAGATTTTAAGGCTCGGGTGGATTATCTAGAAAGGATAATTTACTCCGAAATTCGGATTCCTCATTACTTTGGCAATTAATAGTTTTTTTCAATAATTGTTAGCTAGCGTTCTAGCGGTTGTCAAAAACTAGGCCGCTAGCTAACAATTATCAGAAAAACCGATTAATTGACGGAGTAATTAGAAGTCCCAATTTTGGAGTAAATTATCTTTTCCAGACAGTCCATCCGGGCCTTAAACAAAACTGAAGAATTTAAAAAATCAATCAATTCATTAATTCCAATAAAGATCATTGACTTAAGTACAATAATATTTAGATACGAGATAAAAAATGATTTCATATTAAATAGGAGATGATTCTTTAATTCATATTAAGTTGATATAACTTAAAAAATGGGAAACTGAAATATGATCGATTACAATTAAATGCATGCACTCAAACGAAATCCTTCAAAAATCATTCATTCGTTTTATTTAAAAACTGTCGGAGATGATTCTTTAATTCATATGAAATTGATATAACTTAAAAAATGGGAAACTGAAATATGATCGATTACAATTAAATGCATGCACTCAAACGAAATCCTTCAAAAATCATTCATTCGTTTTATTTAAAAACTGTCGGAGATGATTCTTTAATTCATATTAAATTGATATAACTTAAAAAATGGGAAACTCAAATATGATTGATTGCAATTAAATGCAATTAAATGCACTCAAACGAAATCCTTCAAAAATCATTCATTCATTTTATTTAAAAACTGTCCTCGAAAAAATGCAATTATCCTAGTTTACCACTTCGGTGCTGAAATATGATTATCTGTAATGGATTTTTAAGTGACGCTGATCTGTATTTACTTTATTTATCGAGTTGAATGCTCTTTGGGTTTTATAACTTAGTTAAGGGGACAGTATTCCCTGTAGGATAATTAACTATTTCAATGATTAATATTGATACAAACTTCAGTGAATAATTGCGTTTGAGACAATGGTACAGTTTCAACAGACGAGAAGTTCAATACGAAAATAGGACACTCGATTATACAGCCATTATCATTCACTCATTTCAAGTCATGTGTCGCATTGTGTTGGAATTTCTTATCGGAATTACTATGTGCATAATCCAAGACATATCCTATGTTGGGCAATTATTTCCTCTTTAAATTACGCGGTAAGTCTGTCAGTAGTTTATCCTAGTAACGAAAATTGCACTGATTTTATGTTCTACTTAAGGTTGTTGTCGCGTAGAATTTTTTTTCGACAGTTTTCGTTAAAAATTTTATGGTGAATAGTTTGAAAAATTAGCAACAAAATGAGCCTTTTCCGTTTGCAATTGACCGTTTTGAACTTGAGATATAAATTTTTGAAATTCGAGT